GATTCAGAGGTTTTCTGGGAGCAGATGGTGCCATGTCTGCAGGAGGGGCAACACAGCACAACATCAGCAGAAACATCCTGACAATAGAGGCTGTTATCAACGGGATTCAAGTGCCCTTGTCCCTAAGTTTCTGGTAGGAGGCACAGCAAAGAGCTCTGCTGGGAGAGTACCCAGCTGTGCACTTCATTTTGTGCCCTGCTTTGGTGTCTCTCTTTTCGAGCACTTATGTATATAAAATCACAGAATCCCAGATTGGTTTGGGCTGGAAGGGACCTCAAAGATCATCTAGATCCCACCCCCTGCATGGGCAGGGACACCTCCCACCAGCCCAGGTTGCTCCAAGCCCCATCCAACCTGCCCTTCAACACTGCCAGGGATGGGGCAGCCACAGCTTCCCTGGGCAAGTGTGTGATATAAAGAGAGATTTTAGTGGTGGGAGACAGGGCAGACAAAGATGACTGTGAGGACAATCCTCAAGGAAAGATCCAGGAGCAGTCACCATCTTAGTCACCATTGGGTAATGGCTTGAAACTGAAAGAGGGTACATTGTAGGAAGAAATTATTCCCTGTGAGGGTGGTGAGACCCTGGCTCAGGTTGCCCAGGGAAGGAGTCAGAGAGTTGTAGTCAATGGGGTAGAATCTGGTTGGAGGTGTGTTACTAGTGGAGTCCCACAAGGGTCGGTGCTGGGACCGGTGTTGTTCAACATCTTCATCAACGACCTGGATGAGGGTATAGAATGTACCCTCAGCAAGTTTGCTGATGACACTAAGCTGGGAGGAGTGGCTGACACACCAGAAGGCTGTGCTGCCATTCAGAGAGACTTAGATAGGTTGGTGAGTTGGGCGGGGAGAAACATGATGAAATTCAACAAGGGGAAGTGCAGAGTTTTACATTTGGGGAAGAACAACACCATGTCCCAGTACAGGTTGGGGGCTGAACTGCTGGAGAGTAGTGTAGGTGAAAGAGACCTGGGGGTCCTGGTAGACAGGAGGATGACCATGAGCCAGCAATGTGCCCTTGTGGCCAAGAAGGCCAATGGCATCCTGGGGTGCATTAGAAAGGGTGTGGTTAGTAGGTCAAGAGAGGTTCTCCTCCCCCTCTATTCTGCATTGGTGAGGCCACATCTGGAGTATTGTGTCCAGTTCTGGGCCCCTCAGTTCAAAAAGGACAGGGAACTGCTCGAGAGAGTCCAGCGCAGAGCTACGAAGATGATTAGGGGAGTGGAACATCTCCCTTATGAGGAAAGGCTGAGGGAGCTGGGTCTCTTTAGCTTGGAGAAAAGGAGACTGAGGGGTGACCTCATCAATGTTTACAAATATGTAAGGGGTGAGTGTCAGGGGGGCGGAGTTAGGCTTTTCTCAGTGATGACCAGTGATAGGACAAGGGGTAATGGGTGTAAATTGGAGCATAGGAGGTTCAAGGTGAATATCCGAAAAAAATTTTTTACTGTGAGAGTGACAGAGCACTGGAACAGACTGCCCAGGGAGGGTGTGGAGTCTCCCTCACTGGAGACATTCAAAACCCACCTGGATGAGTTCCTGTGTGATGTACTCTAGGTAACCCTGCTTTGGCAGGGGGGTTGGACTAGATGATCTCTCGAGGTCCCTTCCAGCCCCTAAGATTCTATGATTCTATGATTCTATGACCTTTAAGGTCCCTCCAACCCAAGCCAGCCTGTGATTCTGTCTCCAACATGTTCCCCTGTGCTTTGCAAACCAAGTAGCCAGAGACAGAGAATGGTTGAGCAGAGTTTTCCCAGTGAAATCCCTCCAACAGTTTTATATTTATGGAATACAGACCAGAAATTAAAAGGGGTGCATATTGCTTCCTCCCTCCTGCATGAGCAGATTAAATATAACTATCTCCTGTACCTTGATTTATCCTTTTAATGAAGCCATGAATAATTCAGGACCATGATCTGCCACTCCCAGCCCAGCTAATGGCCTTTGACTTTAAGTCATGAAACCTGTCAGCAGCCCAGTACTTATTTTCCCTCATTTCCTCTCCTTTCAGTGCAAATGGAGAGGAATCAATTTAAGGTATTGATTTGTGGGGTTGAGTGAGGTGTTAATTGCAGCTTTGGTCACAGCTGGGGGCACAAGTCCACCCTTCCCCACTGCACTCAGGTTATTAGCTCCTGTCTGTCCATGAGAAGATCTGGTCTTTGCTCTCTTCTCATGATTAAGTGCATCAACCAGCAGCTCTTCACAGGTCAAGGGGCTGATGGCTGATGGCCTCAGCATCACAGAGTAGTTTTATGGGGTTCTTTTTCCTCTTAAAACCCAAAGATATCTCTGAGGAGGGTGGAGAAGCTGCCATCTGGCCAGGGTTTGATTGCTGTGACCCTTTATCTCAGTACTGGGGGGGCTCCCAGGAGTCCTTCAACCCTACCTGAACAAGACACACCTGCCAGGTCATGGCCACACTGAGAAGATGAGGAGGACAGACTCAAGGCAGGCTTGTCCCTCCTGCATTATCCAGGATAATTCCACATTACAAACTGTTACTCATTAAACGTGGCAGCAGCAAACACCAAACACACTGCAGGCCACAGCACACACACAGAGATGGGATCTGCTCCAACCAGACTGCAGCCCCAAAATTCCATAAATCCCAAAGCAAATATTAGGAAAAAAAAATTAAAAATATATCTACACAAAGGGCAAGGTTAAAATAAGCAAACTTTGCATTGCATTTTCACATGGAATAACCCCCACTTTCATGGCCCCACTGTTGAAAAAGGGCACTTGTTAAAATAAAAAGTGTCTTCTTCCTGCAGGAAAAAAATAGTTTCAGCCTCTAGGAAGATTTTGTTCTCACTTTAAAATATTAGATCTTTTTTTAAACAGCTGATGTTCTCAGTAGCTGGAAATCTACCCCCTCACTGCCAAGGCAGAAATTGGTGCAGCAGGAAACCAAAAGCATCCAACACAGGTGGGGAAAATACCAGAAAGCCCCACTAATTTCAGGCTGTCCCAGGCACCTTACCTGTATGTTTTATGAAGCTCCACCACCTTCTCCTCGAGCTCTTTTGTCTGGTTTGGGGCCAATTTGAATTCACTGATGTAATCTGGGCTGTGGAGATCAGGGTCATAGTCTCCCAGTTCAGACTGGACTGTGTATGATCCCAACAGAGCCAAAGTTGCAAAGGAGCAGGGCAGCCGCCCTGACATGATGTCCTGCCTGAGCTGAAGACACAAATAATACCTGGGAAGGGGGGGAAAAAGCAAAATACAATTTAGAGAGACCAGAGAGAAACTTAAGGAACTTAAGGATCAAAGAGAAACTATTTTTTGATACCAGTGATGAATGCAGCATGATGCCTGCTTCTAACTTCTACCTGTGGTTTTAATTATGCACTAAGATTCTCATGGTAAATGGCATGGAAGAGAAGAGGACTTAAGGTCACTTCCTCTCTGGAAAGGGAGGACAATTGTGATCAGAAAAATCTGGGCTTTAAATAAAATCCACTTCTCTGCACAAAAACACACGTGTCAGGATGATAAAGGTCACTGATTTATGCACATGGACTTCAGTGGAGGGTGGGAACATCTCACACGTGCACTAAAACCAAAATACTCCTCTGAGACAACTTGATATCCTTGCTGAAAGATGGAATAGCACCCAAATATTCAAATCTCCCAGTTCTAGTGGTTTCCTCTGCTCAGTGAGCTCCCTGGGTGCCCAGATAATTCACCTGGTTATGTCCTCAGTCAGCTGTGCAGGGTCAGGGGGGTAGAACTTGACATTGAAGGTGAAATCCCAGGGGCCTCCTGCAATGACAAAGAAAAGGTGGAGAAAAATAAACACACTGGAACAGCTCCTGGATAGTCAGTCGTTCCAAAAAGCTGGAGATATCCAGTCTGGTCTTCAAAATCCAGCCTGTGGATCCTAACACTGCTGCTCACTTGCTGCTGCTGCTGAACAGGCAGCGTGAGATGTTACTGCATCCACAGGAGCTAAGATACAGGCAGGATGAAAAACAAAGCAGGGCAGAAAATACATGAGAATAAACCACTACCTGTGATAAAAACTAAATTCAGTCCTTAGAGGCTAAAGGACTGATACTTTTTTACTGCTTGAAAAACTAAAGATTTATGAAGAGAGGTCAGGCATGTGCTGCCAGTTAATGAATGAGCATTGTTGTAGCTCTCAACCCAATTTCCAAATGTCTTGTAAGGAGCTGATGTGATTGTTCACTCAGCAGCTCAATGTTCTGTGCTTGGGTGGTCAGACCACAGCTGAACCCACTGCAACATGAGCATCAATCTCTGGAAGGAACAGCAAGGGCAGGGACAGGAAGAGCTTCACAAGTTCAGACCTAAATGCTTTAAGGCAGCTTGTTGTAAACCTTGGTCAGCACCTTCCCAGGCATCACCTGGAGTGAGAATCCACATCATTTAAAGGCTGGGAGAGTTGGGGTGTTCAGCCTGGAGAAGGCTCCAGGGAGACCTTAGAGCACCTTCCAGTGCCTGAAAAGGCTCCAGGAAAGCTGGGGAGGGACTTGGGACAAGGGCAGGGAGGGAGAGGACAAGGGGGATGGATTAAAACTGGAAGAGGGAGATGGAGGTTGGACATGAGGAGGAAATTGTTGGGTGTGAGGGTGGTGAGAGCCTGGCCCAGGTTGCCCAGGGAAGCTGTGGCTGCCCCATCCCTGGCAGTGTTGAAGGGCAGGTTGGATGGGGCTTGGAGCAACCTGGGCTGGTGGGAGGTGTCCCTGCCCATGCAGGGGTTGGATCTGTATGATCTTTAAGGTCCCTTCCAACCCAAAACATTCCATAAGTCTATGATAATCACATCTAGAACTGGCAGTATTTGTGGTATGGACAGTCTGGGTGACACAGCTGATGGGGTCACTCTCTCTTTTTCTTGAAAATAATCATGTTTACCTGTAGAAAAGAGCCCTGACTGACCCACTCAGCCCTCAAACCATTTTCACAGCTACAATGCCCTCTTGCTGAGCCCTTTAACAAGTTCAAAAGAGCATTTATTTCAGAAAGACAGGCTACCCCTGTCCTTAACTTGCTCTGAGATTTACCACAACCTCAAAGGGGGGGGGTGGGGGTGCAGTGTCCATGGATTTACCTCTTATGCAACACCATAACTGGGATTAAACACACTGCATGTTGTTTTCATTATGCACAGCTCAAAACAAGTCATTCCAAGATGATATTTTGGGCAGCAGAGGTTCCCTATGTATTGCAAGGAGGATGCAGAGACTGACTACCTATATATGCACAACGTATATGGGTGCACAGAGTTGTATGTAATTCCAACATATATTCAAGGAAACTCCAATAATTTGGCATCCCAAAAAGAATTCAGCTTCTGTGAATTTACTGTCACAGACACTGTGTGATTCTCAGTGTTTAAATCACAAGACACTTCACTCTAGCTAAATAAAAGGACATATTTTGTGTTCCAAATATATAAACAGATTTTATGTTCTTTTTCCCAGTGCTGACCTTGGACTGAGACATTGGAGGGGTGTTTTACAAGGGCAGGGAGGGAGAGGACAAGAGGGGATGGATTAAAACTGGAAGAGGGAGATGGAGGTTGGACATGAGGAGGAAATTGTTGGGTGTGAAGGTGGGGAGAGCCTGGCCCAGGTTGCCCAGGGAAGCTGTGGCTGCCCCATCCCTGGCAGTGTTGAAGGGCAGGTTGGATGGGGCTTGGAGCAACCTGGGCTGGTGGGAGGTGTCCCTGCCCATGCAGGGGGTTGGATCTAGATGATCTTTAAGGTCCTTCCAACCCAAACCATTCCATGATTCTACGATTAACCCTGAAATGGGAGCAGATTCCACAGCAGGTTGCTCATGACACTTCCAAGCTGAATTTTACCTGCATGGCAGGAGCAGCCCGTGCCCCTGACACACACCCTGCAATCCATTCAGGGTTGTTACGAGCAGGAGCTCATCCTGCTCTGTAGCTCTGCAGCACTTCCCCTCTCATCTGTACTTAATGACACACTTTGTCCTGCTGCTTCCACCAAAGCAGACATAAAATAGGATTTTCCTTTTGTAAAACAGTGTTTTACTTTCATGGAACAGAATTTTACTTGCAAAGCGACCAGACTTGCTCCCAAGAGAAAACAAAAGCCTCCACAATTCATTTGACACTGTCCTCATCTTGAGCTAATTCAGCATTTGCAGACCTTAAAATACAATTTTGGAGAACATTTGGCATTTGTCCTCATACTCCTTGAGCCATTTATCATTCCATAACCCCTATTTGGACCCCAAACCAGCCTCAGAGTCCATACAACCTTGCTACACCAGACAGTTTTGCTCCAGCTCTCCCAAACTCCTTTGACACCTATTTCCCCACCCTCCACGAGGGAGCAGATCTGCTATTCCAGCTTGACATGGTAGCAAGGACAGCATGGGATTGCAGAGGGTGTACACACCCCAAGCTGTGTTTTCCCAAGGAAATTGCTTTTTTACCCTAAATCTAGAGCATTATAAATACTTAAGAAGAAGAGAAAGGATGCACAGGCTGCTTGAACTTGTGCTGATCCCTGCCAGACACCCTCACTTGAACTCTCACCCACCCTTGGGCCCCCTGGACCACCCACCAAAGCCACATTTATTTAGGCAAGGGGGAAGGAACCACACACACCCATGGGATAAATTCCATCTACTTACCATGAACCTGCTTTTTTATTTCTTTGGCAGGATCCAGCCACGTCTGTAAGAGGATAAAAACATTCAGAGTTTACCAGACGTTCCAGAAACATCACAGAAAACTGAAAATGGCTAAAAATAGGGCAAAAAAGACAACATTTGACACAAATGAAGCCATGGAAACTGGAGAGATGCTGCATTTTTCACAACTTTTTACCCTAGTTTGTGGTTTTGGTGGGTGCATTTCCAGCCCTTCAGCTACCAGGTACTCATAGGGGAGGCACAAGGAACAGGAGGGGAAAAAAAGCTGCAAGCTCAGAGCAGCAGGTACAACCACATCCAGCATCAAGAGGCACTTGTGCAACTTGTTCCCTCCAGAACTTTTAAAACCAGACAAATAGGAAGTTTCCATTCATTTTAGGAACCCTGCCTCTATACTAAGCCCTAGTCAGAACAAAGATCACCAAGACTTTCCATTATTAGTGATGGTTTTTAATGACCTAATCACTGAAATAGGAGTGAAAACACCCAGTTGCTGAGGAAGGCTGGAATATTTTCACTGGAGCATGACATAAACATTGTGTCTAAGTATGACTCAAGTTTCTAGTAATTATCTCAGCTACAAATTTAGAAATAGATCCTTTTTTTCCCCTCCTGTCTCTGTAATTTGGGGGTTTGTGGTGCAACATAAGCCTCAGAAAACAACTCCTGCTTTTACCAGCCCAGTCGGGCAGATCAAGACTGAGCCTTTCCCTTTGCAGAGGTCAGGGTCTGAAAGGGATGGTGTTGGTGCTAACAGCCCTCCTGGAGTGGCTACATTAAACCACCCTCCTAATTTTCTCGATCTCTAAGCAGGATTTGGAAGTCCAGGTCTTCCAGGGTGAAGGAATTAACCCATTGAATCCCCTGAGCTAATCTGTCCTGACCAGAAGGACACGGCACTTCCCCCAGGGAGACAACACTTCCAAATAACTCTATCTTTTTATATGCTTGGCCCCCAACCCTGTGCCACTGGGGATAAGGAATCCATCTGAAAGGTAGACATGTCACCTGCTGTCCCTTTAGGGCCACCATTTTAAGGAGAGCATCTCTACACCCACACTGGTGCCACCCCTGCTTGTTTGCACAGCACCGACGGGCGGGTTTGGGGTGGCCCAGCCTGGGGTGCAGTCATGCATCCTTGGCACTCACCCTGTCTCAGCCAGCAGGCAACAAAGGGAACAGCAATTAACAGCATTTTTATCCAGCACTGTCATGAAGCACTGGGAAACAATCCTCTCTTTCAGGAGCCTGAGCATCGAGCTCCTTCAAACCAGCTGCTCTAGCCACTGTCACCATCTCCTGCTTCCATTGTCAACATCTCTTGCTCCCACTCTCACCATCTCTTGCTCCCACTCTCACCATCTCCTGCTCCCACTCTCACCATCTCCTGCTCCCACGTGGCAAAATGCTCATCCCCAGGAAGGTTTATTCCCAAAATATCAAGACAGAAAGTGCCACATACAACCCTTTTCTGTCCAGGAACACACACGTGCATCCCTGCCTGCTCCGTGTGTCCTCACGCAGCTCCAGGAGATGTAGCACTGAGCTCCCCACAGCACAGACCTGAGACCTTGAGCTGCTCCAGCTAAACTCCTTGTACTCTTAATTGGATCTCAAAGCACATCTATCCCTCCTTCTGCAAGCACAACAACCTCCTAGAGTAAACAATCCAGGTTATTCACATGGAAGCAGATTCCACACACAACAGCAAGATACCAGAAGCAGCCAAACACACCCAGGCCAGCTCTGCCTGCCTCAAACTGCAACGAGGCTTTAATTTCCATCTGAATTAAGAACTCACCCTTGCAATTATTAGTATTTAATGACAAATACGTCTGTCAGCCACAGGAACCTGGCTCATTGAAGTGACTGCTGTAGGTGCAGCACAGAATGTGGACAAACAAAACTGGTCTAAAGGACATAAAAGTGGGCCTTTGGGTTCAATTTAGCACATTTGTGACTTGAGTAATTGCTTGAGTTAAAGCATAACCAAGGGTTTAAAAGGTAAGACACTGCTTGAGTCCATCCAAAGACCTCAAACTGAAACCATGTGAGTAAGAGTTTTGGTATGAAGGGTCAGGCATGTTCTTTCACAGGGCACTTCCACTGCAAACTGCCCAGGCTGGCTCCAAATGAACCTCTCAGAAAATGACACGGATGGCAGGGCCACCAGCTTCTGCTCCTGCTCAGGTCAGTGAACACAGGCTCCAGGACTGTCAGATCCCTCTGCAGTGTGTCAACATCCAGGCTCATCTTCTACAGCCTAAGGGGAGTCAACCTACCCTTAAAACCACAACTAAAAAAATCAAATGCTGCTTTAGTAGAGTGACAAAAGCCCAATTTTCCTCTACCTTCTTGGGCTTTACAAATTCATGGCATCATTTTGCAGTGAACTAATCTAATGAATTTTCTCCAGGTGAAGATCCAAGTTCATGTAGCTTTTTATTTTTGTTTTGTTTACAAAAATCCACACCCCTGTAGTCATTTCTTCATCATTTCTGCTTCTAACCCTCTTTGGCCTTTCCTGGGGAGGACACCAAAAGGAGTTTTAAGAAGAGCTGATGCACCACCTCCTCCATCCTTCCAAAGAGCTGAACCCACCTGAGTGAAAAACACCCCAGCAGCTGCTTACCCTGGAGGTTGGTGTGTCCCATATGGCCAATCCAAAGTAGTCTTCTTCCAGCAGATTGAGGTGGTCACAGACTTTCTTCAATAGATCCTGCCCCTTGGCATGTTTCTGCAAAAACACAAAGGATGTTCTGTAGGATGGGCATAAAATTCAAACCAGAGAGGCAAAGGGAACTTGCAGTGGGTCCCTCTGCTACCACCAGCCCCCCAGAGCTGTGGTTCTCTACACAACTCAATCAAAACACCAAAGATTTCATAGAACCATGGAAAGCCAGGTTGGAAGGGACCTCAAGGATCATCTGCTCCAACCTTTCCAGGTACTATTCTAGTTTGTATGAGGTGGCTCAGCACCCTGTCCAGCCAAGACTTAAAATTGTCCAATGTGGGGGGATCCACCACTTCCCTTGGGACACTCTTCCAATGTCTGACTGTCCTCATGGTGAAAAATTGTCCTCTTGTGTCCAATTGGAATGTCCCCAGGAGCAACTTGTGCCCATCACCCCTTCTCTTTTCTATGGGACTCCTTGTAAATAAGGAATCTCCCATCTTCTTGGCAACCACCCTCTAAGTATATGGTGATAAGGTCTCCCTCAAGCCTTCTCTTCTCAAGGCTGAACAAACCCAGTGTTCTTATCCTCTCCTCTCCAGTCCTCTGATCATCATTTGTTTGGTTTGGTTTATTATTATTGGTTTATGATTATTAAATGTGGTTTATTCTCTCCCAAAGCATATCTACTACATTGGTATCTCCCAGCTCCAGGCTGTCAGGTGTTGATCAAAAGATGACTAACCAAGGCTATGGAACTGTTCCTACAGCCCACTGCTGTGGTCCCCATTTTGGGAGCAACCTGAATTACTAGTTTCACAAAAGAAACAGCAACTCAGAACCAAAGGCCATCACTCCCATGGCTTTTTCATCAAACCAATCTGCTGACCAAACCCAGCATCTCCTGCTCATGCACCAACAGCTGCTCAACACACAACTTCTTGCCTCCAGAAATATAATTTGAGCATTCCTATCTCCTCTTTTTGTTTGGTTGGTTTTTTTTTCCCAAATCCTGCAGAAATGAACTGGCCCCAGGAACACATACCCTTTTAGTCCAAAAACATGAAGGAAAACATCCCTGAGGCACAGAACTATGGCAACCAGAAGCAGCTCATTCTACTTGGAGGCTTTGCTAGGAAGGAGCAGCTCCAGTGATGCAAAACAAGCTTTATTAATGCATCCCTTGTGCCCCCAACTCTCCTTTCAGTCACATCTGCATGGCAACTCATCCAAGAGCCTTGTTTTCCCCCAGTCCTCCAGCTGTAAGGTCCCCAGTGCACATGTTGTGACCCTACAGGTAACACTGTGCATGTGTCAGGCTGGGGATTTCTCAAGGAACTGGCACTTAAGACATAAAGAATTACTAATGGTTGTCAATTGGAAAGGATGCCTGGACAGCACTTACTCTTCTTGGATAAAAGCATTTGTGATGGTCTTGAATGATTCTATGATTCTGTAATCAGAGAGTGGTGGGGCTGGAAGGGACCTCTGGAGATCATCCAGTCCAACCCCCTGCTAGAGCAGGATCCCCTAGAGCACATCCCACAGGATCCAGGTGGGGTTGGAATGTCTCCAGGGATGGAGACTCCACAGCCTCCCTGGGCAGCCTGTCCCAGGGCTCTGTTACTCTCACAGAAGAGCCTCTGGGCAACCTTGGCAGCCTGCACGTGAAGGCAGTGCTGCAGCAAACCCAGGCACAAGCTGGTGGAGATGTCACCACCAGCATTTCAAGGAGCAGCTTCCTTTCAGGGGCTGCAAACACAATCCCTGGTTGCAGGCAGGGCAGGATGGGGCTGGTGATGCTCCCAGCTGATCCCAGGCAACAACAGCAGCAACATCCTTACACAAACTGCCCTACTTGCCCAGAAGCACCCAAGGTTACTGCTTTCACAAGGAGCCCTGTGCCCAGATACCCCCTCCTGGCCCATTTAGCCAGCAGGATTTGGGGCAAAAAAAAGAAGCTGATGGAACTATGCTGGAATGGTAAGTACCAGATTATTAATATTCTGGACAAGTGCCTCAATCCTGATGGGGATTTCTGCAAGCTTTTTATTACCCTGCCAGCCAGGCTGCCCTGTGAGAGAATGCACCAAGTAAAGCAGAAGAAAAGCTCTCAGATGAAGGGGGTTTTGCAGGGCTCTAAGTCAACATGATGATTCTAAATTGTTTCCTGCAGGGCAAACACAACATATTTTTCTTTACATTCAAGCTCCAGGAGTTACATCAGCCAGAGGTGAAGGTACCTTGGGTGACTAGAAAAAAGCACAAATCAACTTGACAGCCCATTCTAACTCAAAGGAAAGGGGCAGAAGGTTTTCAGACAATCCCAACCTAAGAGAAAAAACCTCAACTCTAGTCTGGGATACAAACAAGAGAAGATGAACAACACATCAGACAATTTTTCTATGTTTTAAATTCCCCCCCCACACACCTTGCCAAAGCAAAACATTCTGGAAATGGTGAAACAATCAAGAAAAAAAACAAAGATTCCTAGGCACCCAGAGAATTTTACAACACACTAAATGAGCTGCTGTAGCTTACAGTGAGATTGCTCTGCAGCAAAGCCTGTCATGTAATTCACTGGCAGCAAATTAGTGCCCATTAAATAGATTTTTGTGGTGATTTTTTCAAGCAGAGGAGAAGGGAGAGGGAAAAGAGATGATGCAGGAACACACCTCCCCCCCCAAAAGTACTTACATCCACAGAGCACTCAAAAATGGTGTCATCCAGCAAGACGACTTTGCAGTACATGTTTCTGTGTCTTTTTACTGCTCTCTGGGCAGCTTTCAAATCCTTCTCAGCTTTGGTGTCTGGAGTCTCTTGTTTTGGCTCTGGTTTGGCTCCTTCTTCCTTGGCTTCCCCTCCTTCCTTGCCCCCAGGCTCTCGGCTGTCTGGCTCCTGCTCGTCCCTTCTCTCCTCCTGTGCAGGCTGAAACCCCCCACACCCCAACACCCAAGTTGCAATTTAGACATGTCAGGCAACAAAAATACCATAAATCACACAAAACAAGCACTGTTGGGCTGGAATCTTGGCCCCAAAATTAAGTACCTGACTTAAATGCGTAACCTGGGACCTGGCACAGCAGCTTGAGTGAGCAAGGGAATGAGGTTAATTTTTAAAGCCCTTCTAGTCATTTTCATGTCTCATAGAATGGTTTGTGTTGGAAGGGACCTTAAAGATCATCTAGTTCCAATCCATCTAGTGTGGATTTAATAAAGGATGCAATAAAAAAGGAAAAAGGGTCGATGAGCCAAATCAGGGCAGATTACATCATGCAAATCCATCTGTCAGCACCTTCAGGACTAGGCAGGTTTCCCCCTTGTGGGTCAGACACCCAGGGCACCCAGTGCCACCTGGGGTACCCAATGCTACCCAGGGCACTCAGTGCCACCCAGGACAAAGGGATTTCCTCCAGCCCTCAGCATGGCAGTGGTGGCATCAAAAAGGGGGGGTCACACTGAGATGTCACCTCCCTCTGAGCAGCCCTGTGCCACCAAAGAGGGCCAGCAGCCTTCACCCCACTCTCCCTTTGCCTACTAAAGCACTTTGCAAGCCAGCTGAAATCACTAAAAGAGCAGAAGGAGATGCAGTGTGGGGACAGGAGCAGGAAGGAGGGTGGTTGTTTCTTTTCCCACTGCAGGTTAAATGAGTTCACAGCCCTGCTGAGTGCTGGATGTGGCTGGATGCAGCAGAAGGAAGCAGAGGAAGAGCAAAACCCTGTCCTTTCAGCCCATCACCTCTCATGAAATCACACCCAGGCACAAGTGCATGGAGGTATTTTAAAAAAACCAAACAGCTAAATGATGTCCACAAGCTGCTGACTTCTCTTTCAGCAGGGCTGGGACAATCGGGAGCAGGGAATCAGTCAAAGCTGGTAATGCCCCTGGGTCAGCAGTTATCAGACAGGCAGCTCTTGGGAAATGCTTTCGTGGCAGAAATATCTGCCGAGTGTCACAGCTCAAAAAACTCCTGACGTTGATCTAAAAGAAGAACTCAAAAAAACCCAAAACAACCCCAACAAACCAACCCCAAAAAACAAATGCTCCGTCTGAAAAGAGCAGCCCGTGGGGAAGGGAGGCTCTGGGTGCACAGCCCCACACCCAGAAACAGCTAATCAAAGTGAAATGGAGAAAGAAATCATGCATTTCCTTTTGAAGACATGATTTCTGGGCTGAAGTTGCATGAAAATGTCCAGCCTCCCCCCATTCTACTCATCCCAGCCCTCACAGGCAGAAAACAGGAGCAGAGATGGTCCCGTGGTTTTCAGAGGCTCAAGAACTTAGGGAGACCCCCCCCCAGACCCTTCACA